GTAGCTTTTCCAGGTACACAGTGTAAGCTGTCAGTGGATCTACCATTCTGGGATCTGGAGGATGGTGGCCCTCTTCTCACAGCTCCACTAGGCAGTGCCCCAATAGGGATTCTGTGTGGGGGCTCTGACCCCACATTTCCCTTCCACACTGCCCTAGCAGATGTTCTCCATCCACTAGGCAGTGCCCCAATAGGGATTCTATGTGGGGGCTCTGACTCCACATTTCCCTTCCACACTGCCCTAGCAGATGTTCTCCATGAGGGCCTCGCTCTGGCAGCAAATTTTGCCTGGGCATCCAGGCATTTCCATACATCTTCTGAAATCTAGGTGGAGGTTCCCAAACCTCAATTCTTGACTTCTGTGCTCTCTCAGGCTCAACATTGCATGGAAACTGCCAAGGTTTGGGGCGTCCACCCTTGAAAGTCACAGCCTGAGCTGTACGTTGGCCCCTTTCAGCCATAGCTGGAGCTGCTGGGACACAGGGCACCAAGTCCCTAGGCTGCACACAGCACAGGGACTTAGGGCCCAGCCCATGAAACCACTTTTTCCTCCTGGGTCTTTGGACCTTTGATGGGAGGGACTGCTGTGAAGGTCTCTGATATGACCTGGAGACATTTTCCCCATGGTTTTGGAAATTAACATTAGGCTCCTTGCTACTTATGCAAATTTCTGCAACTGGCTTGAATTTCTCCCCAGAAAATGAATTTTCCTTTTCTAACACATAGGCTGCAAATTTTCCAACCTTTTATGTTCTGCTTCCCTTATAAAACTGAATGTCTTTAACAGCGCCCAAGTCACCTCTTGAATGCTTTGTTGCTTAGACTTTTTTTTTCCACCAGATACCCTAAATCATCTCTTTCAAGTTCAAAGTTCCACAAATCTCTAGGGCAGGCACAAAATGCTACCAGTCTCTTTGCTAAACACAAGAGTCACCCTTGCTCCAGTTCCCAACAAGTTCCTCATCTCCATCTGAGACCACCTCAGCATGGACCTTATTGTTCATATCACTATCAGCATTTTTGTCAAAGCCATTCAACAAGTCTCTAGGAAGTTCCAAACTTTCCCACATTTTTCTGTCTTCTTCTGAGACCTCCAAACTGTTCCAACCACTGCCTGTTACCCAGTTCCAAAGTCACTTCCACATTTCCAGGTATTTTTTCAGCAATGCCCCACTCCACTGGTACCAATTTACTGCATTAGTCCATTTTCATGCTGCTGATAGAGACATACCACGGACTGGTAAGAAAAAGAGGTTTAGTTGGATTTACAGGTCCACATGGTTGGGGAGGCCTCAGAATCATGATTGGCAGTGGCAAGAGAAAATGAGGGAGAAACAAAAGCAGGAACCCCTTAGATCACCCCATCAGATCTAGTGAGACTTATTCACTAACACGAGAATAGCATGGGAAAGGCCGGCCCCCATGATTCAATTACTTCCCTCTGGGTCCATCCCACAACACGTGGAAATTTTGGGAGATACATTTCAAGTTGAGATTTGGGTGGGGACACAGTCAAACCCTATCAATACCGTATAGCCAAGTCCCACCCTGAGTTATGTTGGGCTCTTGTGCATCAGATCATGGAGACAGAATCATGCATTTCAGAAAATAAGTGTGGCAGAAAAGTTGTTCAGAGTATCTGTATAGAAAATTACAAATTACAATTATCAAAAGCACCCTAAAAACAGAAAAGCACAAATCTTGTAAAATAAGTGTTATAAATTACATTTTACAGGTGAGAAAAATGAGGCTCTCTGGAGTTACACAGCTGTTACTCAAATATATTTATGTGTTGAAGATTTGAACAAAGGGTCTCTGATTCCAAATCTCCAAATTCTTGTGCGCTAGCTATGTTGTCTCTTTGTGAAGTGGTATTGGTATAGGAGTTAAGAAGCAATCGCTTAGGCAGATAGCAAGAGTATGGGAGTTCTCAGTGAGGCTTTCTTTTTAATGAAAAGCAGCCCCAAATAATTTTCTAACAAAGAACAGCCTGTAGAGTCAACCTGCAGACATCCATAAGCAAGCCAGGAGCTTGCATGAATGAATGCCACCAGGAACTAGAGACTTCATCTTCAAGATGGTGGCTCCATCTTCCTTTCTGTGTCAGCCACTTGTACAGTAAGGAGCAGACAAGATGGTGCAGGCCAAAGAGAGCATTCATTTGCATAGGGAGGGTTGACCAACCTTCCCCACACACTATGTAAACGTCACACTTGATCAAACCAATCGGTGGACCCTATGTAAATCAGACACCACCATCTCAAGCTGGACTATAAAATCCGGCGCATCCACGGCCAGCCAGTCTTTGCACTCCGACGACCCCTCTATAGACAGAGAGTTGTTTTTCTCTGCTCCTAAATTCCTCGTGTGTGTCTGTGTTCTAAATTTTCCTGGTACCAGACTATGAACCCCAGGTATATACCACAGACAGTGTAGCCGCTTCAGCATCTTAGGCTGCAGCATTCTGTGTTACTTCCATCTTTCAGACATGCCCCATGATCCAGAATTATCCTGCTACCAGTCTCAACATTTTCATTCAAATAACCATCACTTTATAAAATAAGGAAGAAACATTAGTGCTCCTGCAGTTAAACCCTCTCATTTTACTGATGAAAACAACCACCACCACAAACGTAATCTCTAAGAGGTAGAGTGATTTGTCCATGAAAATGAGCTAATTCATAGCAGAATCAGAACTGGAGCCTATTTCCTGATTTCTAGTTCAGGGCTTTTTCTATTGGTCCCAATATTTCTCTGTCCAATTACAAGGATTACTTAGGAAAATTTTGTCACATAAGTTAATGTGATATATAAACCAAAAGAGAGCCACTGATGATTTCTGTTTGACAGACTCTCACAGGAATATCTGCAGTCGAGACAAGATTTAGGAAAGACTGACAGGAACCACTGGACTCAGAACTTTATCTTTTTCTCATCCTTCATTCCACTAAAAGAATAGTAAAAAAATTTTTGAATGCATAAATCCATGAGGGCAAATAAAACAAAAGAGGAAACAATAGTGGACTTGAGATTTTAATAAGAGTTTAGAAGATGGAAAGCAGACAGCTGGAAGAACCGCAAAAATTTAGTACTTTGAGAATGGGATCCCCAAGACAAGCACACTCATTCATCAGAAAACATCATATGATTCCAGAATAGAGGCGCCAGGGACCATAGAGCAATAAAGTAAGGAGTGAACTGAATCGAGACATTCGGTTAAAAGGCTCTAGGGGTAGTCAGGCCCCCAGCTCCCCACCTCTAATCTATGAAACCAGGTGAATGCCATCTCCCCAGCAGGGGATTGATGGGCTTATTTATACTCTGGGGAAATTTGACCAGAGATCTTTTTAACTCAGAGAACAGGCGGGTGTAAGGACCCAGGCTGAAAACAGAGGAATTAGTTAAAAGTCTGAAGGTTGAAAAGTGAAATCCCAAGCTCACTTCCCTTGACAGCCTTCCAGAATATCTGTGAAAAGCTTCCACCTCACCAATTCTCTCAGGCAGAGGCAGATTGTTTTCTGGAAAAGCTGGGGAGTTTCAGGGAAAAGACTTACAGATACTAATATGTTGGGGTCCCTCAAGGAAGAATCAGCTCTCCATCAGACCTCTCAATGAAGTCTGCTGTTTGGCAAGTCCTATCTCTGCACCCAGAGTTTTAAATATGGATTTAAATGCTTCACTTTTAAATAAGAACAGCCAAGTGGGAACAGGTTTTACTGGAAGTATGCCACATGGAAGACAGAAGAAAACAAACAGAAAAACAAATAATCTGACTTGCAAAATATAAATGAAAGACTAAGGACAGATATCTCTATGAAAAGCTTCTACAAGCAAATATGCAAAGATAAAGCATTGTATTTTGGAGCTCAGCCTCATGGAAGAGTCAAGTACATGATATGGGTTGGCAATCTGTAGAACACACATGTGAAAATGGCCTGCAAATGAAAGAATGTTCAATTTTAATAGTGATTGGGAAATGTTATTGAAGACACTAAAAATGCTTCTTAAGCCCAACATGGGAGGATTGTTTGAGTCCAGGAGTTCAAGATTGCAGTGAGCACTTAAACCCCTGCCACTGCACTCCATCCAGGGCAACAGAGTGAGACCCCACCTCTTACATCAAAAACAAAATAAACTTCTTAACTGATGCATTTAAAAAAGATTTAGACTGGCAAAAATGTAATAAGATTGCTAATCTCCAATATTGACAGGGGTGTGAGGAATTGCAATCCAAACACACAAGGATATAAATATAAGGGTGCTCATGGATAACCAGCTTATTGTCATGGGGAAAATTTGGAAAAAAAACTTAATATTCATTGATGGGAGAAATAAGGTAAATTAATTTTGTATAACATTATATAGCTGTTAAAAGAATAAAAACGATATGTATGATTCATGGAAGAATGTCCACAATACATTACTGAATTAAAAAATTATGTCAAAAAACTGTATGTATAGCATTATGACTTTTTTTCAAAAGAAAAAACACTATTAAACAGTTTATATTTAAATACACACACACACATTGCACACAGAGAGAAAAATGACTGCAGAATTAACAACAGATTATTGATAGTAGGATGGGAATGGTGCTCATGGGAAAGGCATTTGCTTTTCATTTTGTCCTCAAGCATTTTTAACTTATTTTTTACAAGCATGTATTAATCATTTACTTTTAAGCAATTCTTTTAAGCTTAATCCATATGAACAACTATCAAATAGTGTTAGTGTAGAGGTTAGAACAGTGCCTAGCTCAAAATAGCAATCAATAGTTACTATCTGAACAAATGATTTCTAAAAATCATTACCATTTGTGAATAATTCAAACTTCTGCTCAAAAAGCCATTGTTTATGAACCTTTTACTAAGACATTTTCTTATGAAAATTGCAAGCTTAATCTGGTTTTCTTGTGGCTTGTAAAAGCAATTTAATTCAGAGTTTGGTCATACACACTTATCTGTGTTAGCAGTATCTTTAAAACCAAGAGACTAATAGGAGTGCAACAGCAAAAAAGCTTTAATTACTGCAGAACCAGTGGCAGGAGAAGGAAACTGTCAGTTTTCACACCTCAGTGAAGGCTGTGCAAGGGTCTTACAGGTTCAGATGTACGTGGTCAAGTGATAAATGGCAGGCTCTGGTTTCGGTTGTGGTCTGAGCTCAGCATGGGGGCAGGAAACAAACAGTGCCTTTAGCACTTGTCTGACACCATCCCTGGCAGGAAACAACCCCAGAAGGAGCTATGCACAGTCAATGATTTTCCTTTTCATCCCTGTCTATCCTACAGCAGCTGGAGTAGCTGCTCTAGGAGGTTGTAATTGATAGCTTTGATTTACCGAAGAAAAATAACTCTGGGCAGTTATCTAGTCCAGGGACAAGCCCTTCTGAATGTGAAAACGGTGCCCTCTCAGGAACAAGGGACTGTTACATAGATCTTTAAACTGTCATTTCTGCTGTGAACCAACCTCGACCACGTATGGGCTTCCCTCTGTGTATTCCTGTCCCTGATTTAGTCCCAGAACACTTTGGAAACTTACCAGGTCTGCATATCAGCTTAATATTGCCCACCACATGCACTCTCTTTCTTTGCCACCCTTACGGATTGTGATTCCATTTGTGTTGTATGATTTTGCAATTGTGATTTGTTGTTTTGTATTGTTTTCAAGTTGTGTCAAGCATGTACATGTAGTTTCTCACCTTAGAGACAATTTGTCAGAGGAAAGAAACTGTTAATGACAAGCAAAATATTTCCTTTCCAAAACTCTTTTCACTGAATAACGCTGCCACTTCTCAAGAGTGTTTTGTTTTCGTTTGTGTTTGTGAAGTAGAGAAAATATATTTGAAGGCATAGGCAAAGGAACTTGCTACAACCTTCAATTTTTTGAAAATCATGAAATGTACATTAAATTTCTTAACATTTTGCGTTCTTTCCTATTATCTGTGTCTTTATTTGAATAAAAAATTAACAATTAAAATTATTTAATGTAGAACTAAATAAGTCCTCCAGGAAGAGGGAGATTTCTCTTTTGTGGCTTCTGATTTTATGCCCAGGCAGTATTGAGATAGCCAGGTGGGAGGGAGTCCTCAGAGAATCTCCAGGCAGCCTGCCCACTGAGGTGGAGCCTTGGGAAGTTTATGATGTTTGTAGCAGGGAGGAGTCTGGCTCTTTCTCTTCCTGTGTGGAACCTGGGATTCTAACAATGGGCATGAAGTGCTCTAGAAGGGACTCTGACCTAGCAAGAGTCCCTGTTTCCCCCCTTTTCTTCCTCTTCATTCAATAAAACCCTGTCTCACTCATCATTCAAATTGTCTGTGAGCCTGAATTTTCATGGCCGTGGGACAAAGAACTCCATCTTTAGCTGAATTAAGGAAAAGTCCTGCAATAGTGTGGTGTAGGATGTGCACAATCCTGGAGATCTGGAGAAGCCAACAACATCCCTAATAGGAAAGCACTAACATGTTCATTTTAGTAACAAACAGAACCCCAGGAGTATTTCTCAAGTTCATGGACTAACACCTAACTCCAGATGCAGTCATTTCCATAAGACCATGCTATAGAAATTCTCTTCTATTAATTTTATTTCTCCTCTTTCATCTCTCTTAGCTTTGCACTAAATAGAGTGTTTTTTTACATTAAGTATAACATGCATTTAAAAATTATTAGATGATAAGTTCTCTGATAACTTGTTTAATTTTTAGGAGCAGAAATAGGGTTGGGGTAAAGCAAAGGCTTCATCAAAATACCTATATAAAATTTTGGGAAGTGTGTAGTTACAGACGCCATAGTGGCTGCATTCTTTCTCATTGACATTTTTGGCAGAGTGACTGAGTGGCAAATCACCAGATCCAAGTTCTAACTTGTGATGCCACCAAATAATTTCCTGTGCATGGGGGAGTCATAAACTCTCTTATACCTTTCTATCACGCATATTATCGAGGAAGTGAGGGCTGAAATCAGTGATCTTTGAGGTCTCCACACTGTTGTTTTACTCCAGTGGAAGATTCAATTGAGGATGGAGAAAATTCGCACCCCCTAGTCTGGCCTTTTCATAATGTTGCTTGGGCTGATTCAAGGGACAGTGCACTTTTTTTCAGCTAATGTTTTTACTTCACAGTAACACCATGATATGTATTCCATATTTTATTTTCTTCTTTCAGTTTTTCTTGATGTCTACTGCTCTACTATAACCGTTTAAATAGAGAACAAGATTAGTTCATCTTTCATGAAGCTTCCAAATGCTGGCAGGCCCATGTCCACTCTTTGGCTCCAGCTTCCTTTGACTGTCAGCTGCTCTGGCCATGCAGCAATCTTCATTCCCAGCTGCAGCAAGAGATGCAGTGGAGTGCTGGCCTGGCTGAGATGCAACCTACAGTGTTATTTTTATAATCTGGAAGTTCTAGGCAAACAAAGCAACTCTTCTTCCATCAGCTACTAGCTACCCCCTACTGTCCAAGAACCTATGGTTCTTCAATGACTCAGAAGGCAGCAAAGTCTAATCTCTTGACCTTGCTATTCAGCTTCCTTCACTGTAGTGAAGGTGATTACAAAGGATCAACCATTTAATTAGCTTCTGAGGCCTACAGTTTGCAGTTTTACATTTCTCTTTCTCCTCATTGAATATTTTATTTAGTACTCTTTGGGAGAGCAAACACCGAGCCACTGCCAGCATTTCCTGGTGAATGATATGGAATTGGCTTTCAAGACTTATTTATTTATTTTACAAGAAGGAGGTAAAAACTAATTGAAGTTTATCTGTTTTTACAAATGCAGAAAATTTCTAGGAAGCATTATTAAGCTATCCAATTCTATGTATTTTAGGTTTGGGTGCAAACTATTGAATTGTAATAATTATTTAGGCTCAGGAACAGCCATCTTTGGTCATGCTTTCTAAATCCTTTAGCTAAACTCTGTTAATCAATATTCACTTAAAAATGTGGTGTGCGCCTCAACCCCATCCTTTCCCTTTCCCTAGCAATGTCCAATTATTTCAGGTGAAGGCAACCTTGTTTTTCTCAATATCTTTAATATAAGTTTACTTATAAATTCATCAAATACTTATTTTGATGGCAAGATATTTTAACATGTTACCAAAAAAGATCAATCATATAAAAATAAGAATATGAAAAGATGTTTAACATGACTAGTCTTTAGGGAAATGCAAACTAAAACCATAATAAGGTACTACTGGATACCTATTAGAATAACTTTAAACAATCTCAAGTACATGAAAGGATGCAGAGTAACTTAAACTCTAATACATTGCTTTTGGAAAACAGTTGCCTGTATGTTATTAACTTAATCATTTCTCATAATATGACCCAGTGCAAAATACAGTTAGGTGTTTGCCCAAATGAAATAAAAATTATGCTGGCACAAACATATGGATGATTTATTTTCCATCAAATGAGAAACAAGTCTGATATCTTTCAACTGGGGCCTCGATAAATGCTGGTATATTTGTACCATGGAATACTACTAAGGAAAAAACAGAAATGTACCACAGTACTGATACAACCACAATAAGGATGAACTTCAAACACACTATGATAAATGAAAGAAGTCAGACTCTAAAGGTTACATACTGTGTGTATGTGGTTGCCAGGGGCTGGAGTTGTGAGATTGACTACTAAAGGGCAACATGAAGAAATTCAGGGGGTGATGGAATTGTTCTATATCTTGATTGTGGTAGTGGTTACATTATGATACACAATGTTCAGAATTCACATACAAGGTGAAATTTATTGTATGTAAATGACTCCTTAACAATAAAAACAAAAATAATTGAGTAACTGCTATGTGCTGTTGTCCCAGAAGTGAAAAGACAGTCCAGGTTCTTGCTTCCTATGAGGTCATATTCTTGTTCTGTGTTCACTCTTCTGTGTCCACTGTTAGCACTAAAGTCCATGTTCTTTTCGTCTCTTGCCTGCTCTAACCTTCTATATTTATCACCTTGTCTCCCAACTCTCCTCTTCTCCAATCCATTTTCAATAATGCTACCAAATGAATCTTTTTATGATGTCAATTTGATTATGCATCTTCCATGTGGCAGTGGATAATTTCTATGATTTGTAGCCTTTTAGCTTCTTTAGAATACCTTTTCTATGCTTGAAATTTCTCACATCATGGGTTCCTACATAGAAGCTAGAAATTCACTTTCCAGTCTGTCTCCCTTGCAGCGATGGTGCTGGCATATGACCCGGGCCAATCAGAAGAATATGAGCATGACTTTGATTTGGAGAAAAGCAATGGGAGGAAGGAGGTGCTGTGTGAAATTCATTTCTGTTGAGGGTGACAGGAATGGCTTTCTTAGAGCACTGGTGGAGGTTTTGCTGACTAGTGCCCAGGGTCTTGATGTGACTGCTAGAGTATGTGCTCAGTGGTCTTTGCTGGAGCCTCTAAGTCTGGACTCACAGTCTCTCCCAGAGTGTCTCTGAACTACTTAATATTCTTTAATAAATTCTTCTTTTTCTCCTTAAGCTAGAGTGGTTACTGTTTTTCACTTACTTTGCCTCTGAATCTCAATGCATACACCTGTGTATAAGCCTTCACAGACTTCCCATCACCTTAGAAAAAAAATCAGTACTCTTAACTATGGCATCTAAGGCCTTCAACATAGGGTTCATACATACTTTCCAGTTTAAACTGTTCTCAACGTGCTCTATGTTTTAGTCACCCTAAACTTGCTGTTTGTCCAACAATTCATTCTCATGTATACCTTCATGACTTTCCAGATTATATTCCCTTTGTTTAGTATAATTTTTCCTCTTTTCTCATCACTTTGTAACCCTCTCTTCATGTTGTCCTTATTTATCCTTCAATTCCATTCAAAATATATCTTAAATACCAGGAGCTCAAATGCCCTTTGTGAAGCCTTCCTTGATAGCCTTACCATGGTCCCAGTGCCCAAGGGCTGTTTGCTTCCTCCTGTATCTGAGAACTTCTTGTATTGTATTATGATGTTTTGTTTATTTAGTCATTCATTCAATAATAATTATCAAGCAAATACCATGTGCTAGGCACAGAGCTAAAATCTGAATGATAAGTAGGAGTTAATTAGGTAAAAATGGAGTAGAGTGTGTTCCCACAGAGATCAGCATGGAAAGCAGGCAGGCAGCTCATGGAGAATGTGAACCTCCAAGTGAGGGCAGCTGTAGTGGCTAGGGCTGGGGAGCAGGTATGCCCCCTTCAGTCTTCTGCAAGTACTTTGAGGCACAAGCCCAGTTTTACTCATCTTTGTGCCTCTAGTGAAGCCAAATCAGGTATGGAGTTGATATTCAGTGAAGGGTTGTTGAATTAATAAATACATCACCAGATCCTGTCTCTCCCTAAAACTTTTATCACACAGCTTGAACCAGAGGAGATAATTTAGGCTTAATTTCCTGTGCATCAAATCATTGTCGGGACATAAGAAATACCTTTAATTAGGAAGCAAAGTCTCCCACTTCCTCACACGAATAATCCAGTGTTGCATTGATGTAATAGTGGCAGATCAACTTCAAAAGTGTTTTCTTGGATAATTGTTTGGGTGTCATCGGTTTACTTATCTTTAAAAGCCGATTAACACAGCTAATATCTCCAATCTGCTTTTTCATGTGATTCTGTCATCATAGCAACCTCACAAATCAACTCTCTGATGTGTCTTAACATTATAGCTTGGGCAAAAAGAGGCAAAATAATTTTCTAGTCATTACACAGAAAATC